GTACGTTGTACGTCGTACGTTGTACGTCGTACGTTGTACGTCGTACGCAAAATTTGTTAGCAAGATTGCGCTCATAGTAGAAACTTAATTCAAAATCTGACTTTACAGGATGATTGGGGGCCCCGAGGAATAGAAATCATTAGCTTTTGAGCGACTTTTGTCGATGGAAAAAAATTTCATGCCTGTAGTGATACCTATGAAAAAGAGTCCAATTTTCGTCCAAAAGTCATACTTAATGTAGACTTAAACACTCAAAAATATGTATTGGGGGTTTTTTTGGCACGAGAAAACCGAATCCGAGGTTAGTTTTGAGATACAATCAATTTTTGATACAGTTTCCTTAAAAAAATCACAAAAAAATTGCATTTTTGTATGGGAGCCATGCCTGTATGCTACTTTAATGACGTGAAACTTTGCACAGACTATTTTTTACACAAAAAAATAACATTCTGAAAGTTTGAAGAGATTTCAATCAAAATTAGGGGTACCTCCCATACAACATTTTCAGTTTTTGGCTCAAAAACGAATATTTCGCATGGGAGGTACTCTTAATTTTGGTTGAAATTTCTCCAAACCCTCCGAATGTTATTTTTTTGTGAAAAAACAACCTGTGCAAAGTTTCACACCATTAAGGTAGCATACAGACATGGCTCCCATACAAAAATCCAAATTTTTTGTGACATTAGTTATGGAAAGTGTTTCAAAAATAATTTCTATGGCAAAATTAACGTCAGACATATTTTTTTGAATGTCATTGAAAAATGATTCCATTGCTTAAAAAAAGAAACGTTTGTGGTGTACTGCGGTTAAACAGTGCGGAAAAGTTCGTCTTACGTTCGTAAGACCATTTATTTTTCTTTCGAATGCGTTACAATTTAAAGAAAATATAAGCAAACCACAATTAAAGTGCTCGAAAGCAAAAAAAAATAATGTCGAATTAATAAGTAGGAATTAGAATTTTGTTCAAGCCAATCTTACATAAGAATTAAATAAAAGAGAAAAAAGTACAGTAAAACCCCTCATTAGGGAAATTAAATATCGAGGGACCAATTTTATTTCAGTTATCTAGAGATTTCCGTAAAATATAGGTCCAATAAAACACAAAATAAGCGAAAATATTTCGAAAAAAAACTTTCCTCTTAATTCCAACAAAAAGTGTATTTTCATGTTTTAATTAATAAATGGCGTCTTGATGTGATTTAAGATCAAGGCATATTAAAAACCGAAAAATCGATACGGTTGTGTTAACAAAATCGAGAAAAGAAATCAGTGCAACATCATACATCTAAGGATTTATTTCAACTTAGGTTTGAAAAAAAGAAAAAATGACGAAAGTCAGTTTTGCTTAATTGGAATTTCCACTAATGGGAAGTTTTACTGTATAATACAAAATCCAATAAAATACTCCGTATGTTTTTTAATATAAAAAAAATGGTATCGACGAAAGTAAAATGACTATAAATCAAATGCAAACAAACGCATAACCCATTTATATAGATGTGCAGATAAAAATTCATTGTGCATGGTGTTGACTGAAGGTTTTTTTTTAATAAGATCCCATGGCAATTACCATCACTTTATCACTCAACCGATTATTTGCTTGGCATTGGCATAAGTTCGACGCCACTTTATTTTATCAAAAATCTCAACACATAAGCACTACGTTTTTTATTCTACAAAATCCATTCTCTATTGATACAAAAAAAAATTCAATACTGATTCCGTTTTTTTTCTCTTTTTTTATCTGAACGCAAAAAAAAAGAATACAGGCGAAAATCGCAGCTGAAGCGATTGGTTGCAATATTTGTACCTAGACTGTATATTGCGAGTTCGTCCTAATAGATCAACATGACCAGCTGCATATTGCTCCATAACATCTTTAACATCGTACGGTTTTAAGGCCTCCTTAAATTTTCGTCTTGCTACAAAATACTTCATCTGTTGTTTCATCATCGAAAAAAAATAAATGAAATTTTCAAGCAACGAATTTAACATGGAGTGTGATATAACAAAACGACTTTAGGAGGGCATCTCATTTCATCAAGAATTAGAAAAAATCTCTTCGATTACCTCTTTTCTTTTCAATTTTTCTTTCTTTTTTTGGATTTCTAATTGCATTTGAACAATTTTATAAAAGGGTGTTTTTTTTTTGTCTCGGATAAAATATTTGTAAATCCAGAGCAGCGAAACAAACAACTAAGCGCACTAATCTGCACTCGGTGGAACAAAAATGTGCCATTGATTGCATATTGGTGAACTTAATCGGTGCGCATAGTTGTTTGTTTCACTGGTCGGTGTAAATCGAAACAATAATAAGAAATCATTACCTTTCTTATAAAACGTATCGCAGTTTTGTGTTGATTGGTCAGTTGAACACAACGCGGCTCATCATCCTCATCTAAATCGTTGAATTCATCCAGTTTATCAGACGCAGAAAAGATAAGAAAGATAAGATAATATTATTGCAATTAATTATAATGAATGTGCGATATATTTTTTTATTTCGGTGAATATTTATTGGTATTTATGTGCAGCGGTCCCAGAGTTCCTTTGCACACTGCTAATCTACTGCTACCACAAACACAAACAATCCGAACATTTCAGTGAATATAGGCTTAACACTATGTGTTATTTTGGCAGAAAAAAAATATGATCAATTTTTTGCTTGTTTCAATTTTATAATCGCAATGGCAAACATTCGTTGTATGCCAAACGGTTCAACTTTAAGTTGAAATTAATTATACAAAATCGAAAGAAAAAAAAATGTAAAAAAATTTCGATAAATTACAAAATTTCACTACGTCACAACGGTGCGCTAATTCCATCAAAAAGTATAAGTATATTGTGCAAAAATCAACATGCAAAGCTTCAAAATTTCGAAATTATTTCCACACAACTTTTACATTTTAAACTCTTATTCTCTGTGACCTTTTAATCTCGTTAGTGAGAAAATTGTGATTATACTTAATTATTAAAATACAAAAAAGCAAAACGTATGCAAAAATGCGCAAAAATCCAAAGGTACAAAAAATCAATTGGTTCTTGAAAAATATGATATCTAAAAAAAAATCAAAGCAACACAACAATATATGTTTCAAAGAATTTTTGCCAAATGCCAAAACAATTCGCATTTTCCAATCAGTGCTAGAAAAACTAAGATAGCGACAAAAAAGTACTTTTTTCTAAATAACATTGTGTGTGTATGTGTTAATGTGAGTTATACAAATATAACCGTTCAATGTCTAAGAATCATATCAACGGGGTTGTGGCCAGGTGTATGATTATGCTGGATAATGCTTAAAAAAATAGTCAGCCACTATTTCCAGCATCTATTTATCCAGCATAATCATGCGTCTGTTTGTGAGTGCCGAAATAATAAAGTCTCGAATAATACAAATTCGCTGATAAAATGTTCAATTGAACGAAATGTGACACATAAATATTGTATCGATTGCATGTAACCGACTCAGAATTGTATGCCACACGGTTAAGTGGCTGACAATAGAAATCGGACCATGAAATGAACGATAATTCAAATCGAATTTCGAGCGAAGTGAAATGAATAAAGAAAAAAAACCTGTAAAATTGTAATCTATAAAATCTCAACTGACAACAATTTCAAAACCAAGAAATTTGAAACAAAATTAAATCATCAGAATTATATGATTCAACCCAATCAATCTATTACACATTTTAGTTATTTGAACCATTACTATTTTCAAATCATGTCCCTTCACTAAGTCCAGTTCCAAAACTACCTTTTTACTCGCAACGGCATCTGCTTAATAAATCCATCATTTGAGTGCAGTTCTTTCGCATTCAAATACCAAATCATCGCAGTTGAAATACATTCACAGCATAAGTAATAATATATAATATATTCATTGTATTGGCTGAAATGTGTACAAAGAAACAAAATTTGGTTCTGTGCCGACGCATCTAAAATCTCAAATAAATCAAACGTTGGGACTGTAATCGTTTCGCTTCGTTTCCATTTTCTTTTATTTTGTTCCGCATCCATTCGAAAGTAAAATGATTTTCCAAGCCGGCAACATTCTCCAATTTTCAAAATGTTCATAGCAATACAATATCCATTTGATATGGAACGACAATTGTAACAATCAAAATTCAATTTCTGAATAACGCGTAGGCGATGACAATTTTTATAAAAAAGTAAGTAAACAAAGGTGTTGTGTCGTCGAACAAAAGCGATACAAGAAATCACAATAAGATGAAGAACTATTTTCAATTTTAGTATTAGGAAAGCATCATGTTTGTAGAATGTTTCGACAGATATTACATAAACAATATAAATTAAATTCACACGAATGGAATTGAACGATTTAATTTGATTGACAAAATCTTCATATCCTGAATTGTTTGATTCATTTGACGTTGAATATAAATGATGTCACGTGTGTTTTGTGTAATCATTTTACAAAATATGTCTTGCAGTGGCAGCAATATATATTAAAAAAATGCACACAAAAAAAGAAAAATCAGTAACTAATTGTTTCGAATTGGAATTTTGTAGCATCTATTCACCGATCAAACTCAATTACGCATCAAAAGCCTCAATGGCGATTCATTACAACCTTTGTTGAAAGGTCGGTCCTTCACAATACATATACGGTATATTCGAATAAAGATTTCTTGGTGAAAACCGAATGATAAATCATCAAAATGTGCATGTCAATAATGGACACCCGGATAGACAGAAAAATTTCAAAGTAAATTTGAAAAGCCGATGGCATCATTGGGTGTGTGTGTGTGTATGGAAAATAGCGTGATATGGTGTGTATAAATCTGTGTCAATTTTGTCAACTCGTAATGTTTATAGCTTTTTGGTGGTGTTCGGATGTGTGACAATGTGTTAGCGTTTTTGAATGTGTAAGTGTATCTAACGTTAAAATAAAAACAACAAAATACAAACAAATGAAAAACAAACGATTCAATAATAATTGAAAAAACCGGGGCAATTAAAGGGCTTATGACGCGACAAAAATAATTATGAACATCGGAATTCAACGGTTTGGTTCGTTTACCAAATAAAAATGTGACACATGAAATTGAAATATTTGACAAAAATGCGATTTATTTGAGGATGTTTGGAATTGTCTCGATGACTTTTCTACAAACTGTAATTATTTGAATGCGTAATAAGCCCTCTGCCTGAGAGATAGAGATATAGAGAGAGAGCGAGAGAGAGAGAGTGTGTGTGAGTGTGTGAGAGAAAGAAAATCTTATTTGATATTTACGCACTGTAATTGTAACTGTTTTTCCGCGATCTATTCTCAAAATAGTTTATCGATGCTTGTGGTAGCGATGAATAGTGCTTTCGATTGAATATTGGGGTTAATTTTTCACGTAATTTTTCATTCAATCGACTGTATGTTAGAAAGTGTTGCGATTGATTTGATGTATCTGGTTCATCGGCAATTTCAGCCGCTTCATCGACAGACACGTGCACATCATTCTCATCGAACTCTTCATCAACGATGAATTGTATCTCTTCTGTACCTTTGGCATCATTATGATGGCAAACGATAGAGGAAAGAAAAGTTTTTTTTGCTTTATTCAACACGGCATTCAATGTATGTACAAATAAAAGGAATATGAGGCGGGGGGTCTATCAAAACAAAACAATTCGAGTGTATAGTGTGTTGTGTTCAAACGTTTGCGTTGACTCTAGATATGGCTATATATATATATATGCTTGAAAAATTTAAAATTAAAAAAAAATTGGTTGGTATATGAATCAAGATCAGATGGCGCTGCATGGGACATAAGTTTTAATGAATGTAAGCATCCATCCATATATCGAGTGTCGCGTAGGTGTGTTTGTGAGTTGTGTATTGTGTGAGTGTTGTTGTTTCTTTTTCGTAGCGGTTCCCCCATTTGTCCTAAAAATCGACACGTTTTTCCAAAATAGACATATTGATGCAGCAAATCATCAATCTGTTGAAAGCTTAAATGGATGATTGTGGATGCGAGTTCCATCAGTATCCGGACTAAAGATATTTCGACTTGAATAAATGACGTGTTGCATCAATGTGGCCATTGGTGACGGTGGAAAACCAAAGCGAATAACGAACACATCGCATCGAATGGGTGTGCTACCAAATCCAATGTAATATGTACTTTTGTTGCTGTTGAGTTTTTTTTTTTTAAATGTTTGTTTGTATTTTATAAGTTTTAGTCAGTGAGTGTGCTTGCAGCATTGTTTTGAATCGTATGGGTTCTGGTTTTGCCATTCATCAACATGCCATTCGAGTCTTGAATGCAGAAAAGTATGGAAACTAACGTGATATATGCAGACTGGCATCCTCGCAAGACAATTTATTCGGTGTCCAACTGTGGATTTTTTGATCGTCATCATTACACTTTGTTACGTCAGTTGCATCGGATTGTGTTGGCTCGTGCACTTGAATCCATTGATGATATAACATGATTGGTAATGCGGTCGCTTCGCCAACTTTTAAGAGGCCAGGCTTTGCATACAGGCTTGTTTGCGCCGATGGATGGCTTGAGTGTCGTCGAAATTGTCCGTGAACCGCCGTTGTTGCGGACTTTAGAAAACTAATCTTTGACTCACAATTGCTCATTTCAATTGAATTTTCTAGAAAATGCAAGTTAGATTAAATAAAATAGTATCATCTGTTTCAGTATTATACGGATGTTGTTGGTGGTGGTGGTGTTGTTGTTCCTATATATATATTTGTATTTTGTTTTTTGTTATTATTAGAAGAGTTATGGAATAGTTTAGCCTTAGTAGTAGGATATCAGCACATTGTTATATGGTTTGAACGGGACATGATGATGGTGGTACTGTTTCAGTATACTACCGAAATGCATAAATCAAATGGGTGAGGGGGGCGGGCATGAATTGCTGTTTCGTCTGAGAGGGAAAGAGAGATTTGAAACAAACGCTCAATATGGAAAGTAGAAAACGAATAAATGTGTGTAGTTATGTGAATATGTGAGATATTTTCAATTGTGTAATTGCCGGAATATTGTAGTTGTGGACATGAATTGAAGAGATCGGTATCATTGTCCAATGTCCATAGCAATGCTCATCCAACTGTGGTCGTTGTTGTTTTTTTCTTTGTCGAAAACCATTCATCGTTCATAACAAAAAAAAAGAACACACTTCAGAACAGTGAAAACCACATATGAATGGAGGTCGAACGGAAAAAGGTCACATCAAATAGAAAATCTCTTTTGGACACAAACATGGACAAAGTAAAATGAAAAAAAATGTGTTAATGAAGTTTTGTTAAGGAATGAAACCTTACAATAATTTTTCGCTTCAATGAAATTCGTATGCAAAAAAAAGATGAGCTTCACTTGATGATTTTTCGTAGCGTTGGGCTTTTTATTATTAAATTTCACCACACATTCAATTCGTTTATTGAGAACAAGAAAGAAAGGAATAGAGCAAGATAAAAGAAATTGAAGAGTAAGACTTACTCATTAATGATAGTAGTCACTTCCAATTGGAAAATGTTAAATTCAACACAATGGAATGATTTTCTTGTGATGGCATATTAGTTTACAGTGTCACAAGTACAAGTCACGAAACAACCAGAAAGGTAACATGAAATAGAGTAAGTAAAGCGATAGAAGAACGACCAGCACTCATTTTGAGGTTAATAAACGCAAGCAATACAGGGAATGTCGCAACACAAGGTAAAATACGCCTAAGACATATAGCAGAAAGCACATAGCTCCTGAACGTATTTTGATATCGGGAGACAATTTAATAAAATATGGTATTATTTGAAGGAGCATGTCACTGCAGTATGTTCGCAATTTTGCATTCACATACAACTAAGATCAGGCGAAAGTCACACATTCAAAATGGAAATAGAATACTACCAATCTACAACATGCACGTATATTATAATCTAATTTTCAAATGTCTATATATACAGACTTTAAATTAATTTTATTCATGATTGTTTTTCAATGTTGATTGGTTCAACTACTTACGAACTCATTTCAATTTCAAATTAAAACGCATAACTTAATCATCCCGGAACGATGAATAAATTCACCAACGTAAGATTATTTACACAAAAAAAAAAATATTGTGGCAATCGCATTCGGAACACATCGTGTTTCAAAATGTATCAAAAAGTCAAACGATATTAACAACATTCAACATTCATTACTTGATGAAGAAAATGAAAATTCACGATCTCTTCAAAAACAAGCGGGTATATGCTGAATTTTATTGGTTCGATGATAAGCTTAACCTAATGTCTATCATAGAATAGTGTCGATGACAACATTTAAAAGCTGAAAAACTGTCGAACAAAATCGTAAACAATCTTTACAGATCGATATTGTATTTAATTGATATTGTTTCAGGTCGTAATAATTGGCTAAACAATTGGCACGTCACAAGGATTTTATTTCAGTTTGTTACACAATGTCCTAGCAAGTTGAAAGCTTTTTTATATGCTAGTATATGCTGAACGGATGTGTTTGTGTGTGCCATTCCGATTCGATGTTTAGCATCCCAAGTACATTTCCTGTATTCAGATTTTTGGTACTCGAAATTTAATATAAGTGTCAATGCATGTGACCAAAACGTCTATTTTATATCGAATATCGTCGCTGAAATTCAGTTGTCACACTTGTTACACGTAAGAATCTCTGTTTATCTTAAACGTATTTATTATTGTGCACAATATGCTTCATTTGGTTTAAGGTCTTAAATAATGAATTAGCAAGCTACATACGATATACATAAGAAGTAAAACTGACAAATCACATTTGAATTTCTATCGAAAATGGACATATTTTAAGTGGAAGACATAAAAAATATGGTTTGTTTCAATTCATTCAGGTTGGCTTCGACTGATTTGTACATCAGTATTTTGTCCGGCATTCCAATGAGAATTGCTGTCTACAATTAACCAAAGGTAAACCGTATAGAGTCATATGTTGTTCGGAATTCCTTCATCATTTGTCAGTTTAGTTTCTTATGTGATAATATCACAGTGATATGAATATATAATCAATGGAAAATTTATAAGAAAGATAATCACGAAAACTGTCTATCGTCGAATATTTTAAAAGTTACGTTGTGTACATTTGATTGTTGTCTATAACGACTTAATAGCTGATTATGATTATTTTCCTAATTTTATGATCATCAATAAAAACAAACGAAACGCGGTCCAAAATTCGTCCTCACACATTTAATCGCAACGAAATTAATGGTTGAATAATCCTAATTTAATTTTATGATATCGACATTTATGTTTGAAAGCGTTGTTTGTGTGCATGCAGTTCAAGCCTCGTGGTTAAATAAAGTGTTACAACTTACAGTATCACAGAAACCATCTGTTGTATTCTTTCATTTAGGTTATTCTAGTAATAAATTTGTTTGTTCTGTGGTAAGAATTCATTGCATTTGAACTACGAACGGTGTTAAAATACAAAAGAAATAAATTTTGATTTCATCGTTTTGTCCACAGAGAATTAAATGTCCTTGAAAGTGGCAAAAAAGGGGGAGAAGAAATATTCACTTTTTTCTTCTTTTTTTTTAATCCGTGAAATACGTTTGCTTTGTACGGGGTGTGTGTTCGAATTGAAATACAAACGCTTGCGTGTTCATAATAATTGGTATGCAATATTTTCATTTCTTGTTTGTAAAAACGTGACGGTGCCAAATTCAGTATTATTTCGTACACAAATTTATCGAACAAACAATTTCAAATCAGATTAAATCATTTTCTTTGTTTTGATTCCCTTTTTTTGGTTGGTCTATATATGGTATAATTCACAAGTTTTGGAAAATACAAAATAACGATAATGAAATGAGTCGATAACATTAAGAAGAAGAAAAAATATATATATGGAATAAATACACGAATCAAATTTACAATAGGGTAGTTTCAATTGTAAATACACATAATAAAAATTAACGAAATTTTTTTGTTGAACAAAAATCGGTCGATAATGTAATACAAAAAACATTCTAAATCAAATAAATTCAAAATATGTAATATCTACATGACATCAACAACAATGGCATTTTGATTGCGATAGAAACAAGCAAGTTTAAATATGTCTGTTTATTTTCATTACTCAATGGCAATACATTAACACTGAATCTAGGTATATCAAGATAGAGAGAATATTTTCGACTTGTGGTTTCAGCTTTGGTTCATTTGTTTTTTCGGGTGTTCGAAATGTATTCGGAAAATAGAGAAGTATGTATGAAGAATCGATGGATTAGAATATGAAATGCCTAAAGAAATAAATAATAGCAATGGCATCTCAAATGAAATTGGGACATTATTATAAAATGAAAGCGCGTAAAAGAGAGATAGAGAAAATTGTAAGTATTTCTGAAATTCTATTTAAAATGTTGTTATAAGTTTGCCAGTCTCATAAGGTTTGAGAAAACGTTTCTTCTTCCAAAACTAAACTTTATAGCTTGTTTTCAATGGTTGCATAGTTTGTGGACTGTTTTAAGAAGAATTCCCATTCGACATGATAAACGGCAAGATAAACATGGTTCAAATTTCAATTTCGACATTCATCATTATTTGTGATGTGTTGAGTAATGAAATGTGCCTTAAAACAGTCCTTTTGTCTTATGCATTTAGAAAAGAAATCAATCAAAAAATCATACCATCTGAATTTCGCTTTGATATCGCTGTGTCAGCAACCGAATCTTCGCTCAAACTTGGATTCATGGGTCGACCATTATTAGTAACTTCTGAAAAGAAATAAAATATCATCTACTTATATCATATCCGTTTTGCTTGAAACATAATAAATGTGATGGATCGAAGTAAGAATGACCTACCTAAATTTTCGGCGGAAGCATTCATTTCGGCCATAGTTCGTTGAGGCATTCGTCCACGGGTGGATGCAGTCGGCGGTTTCGAATTTCCGGCTGGTGAATGTAACGATTGACTTTTGTGCCTTCTTATGGTCGGTAGACGGGCCACAAACGATGCATTATGCTTAAAACTAGAAGATGCGCGTCTAATCAACGATTTTCGACTTGTTCAATTACTTAAGCATAGATTTTTCATCTATATATATATATTTATATTATTATTTATACATAAATATATATATATATTGACTGTGCACATTTATTGGACGTTATTTTGAACGAACAAAAAGTGTGTGTTTGTGTCGCTGTGTGTGTGTGTCTATATATGTGTGATTGAAATTGTGTATACTACGTATTGTGAGTTTGAATGTCTTTGGTAATTGTTTTGTGTACTATATGTTTTAATTTTGTTTACGCATTTGGCGGGTGGGACTGATTCAGCGTTAAATTTAATTGTCTAACGCCGATTGTGTAATGATGGTGAATATGTTTGTTTGTGTAACAGCAACATTTTTTTTATTTAAGCATAATCAAAATGATAATAATTCATGAAAGAAAATCATGAAAACAATAAAACACAAATTATAAATAAATGAAACTGTTCTCTTCGATATGAAGGAAAAAAAATAAAATAAACGAAATATATACTGCGATATCTGAAATATGCATTCAGTTTAATCATGGTTCGCATGGAAATGAATTTGTTTAGGTAATTTTGCATTTGGATTTCCATTGGATAAAAATAAATTTATGGATTTGAACATAAATGAAAATAAAAATGAGTGCGACCCCGCCAGGGGTGTATGAATTTCATTTGCACTAATATTGAATATAATATGTTCGTTAAAATGTATGTCTTTGTAGTTCATATCGATTGTGATTTATTCATAAAACGACATTCACAAATTCTTTATGAAAAAATATGCGACGCATCCACCAGAATTTATAATTTTGTTCGATATTTTTTCACAAAGACCATAATAATGCAAAATATCTATAGTTCTAGTTAAATGCTGTAATGTAAGATTTCTAATGCAACATTTCAAGCTATATCCAAAATTGCCAACATAAATACATCATCGCCTTTATGTACATATTTTTTAAGTAAGATTCAAATATTAGAATACAAAAACTCTACGTAAATATTGAAGAAAAATTAGAACGAAATAAAATAAAATCGATTTGATCTACTGTATCGCAGTAAGCGTAGTAATTTAACAAGTGTGTGCATGGTGTAAAAGCAATTTAAATTTGCAACTGTTTGAAAGATAATTACAAAGCGCTTTGAAAGCAATTCACTTAAATGGAGTCATTCATTCGTCTGACAAATTTGAGAAGAAATTATTGAATTGTGCAAAACCTGATAGACAATTTCTCATTATGTCTATCGAATCAGTCTAATAAGAGTCTATTCTATATTATAACAAAGTATATATGACGACCATTCAATGTGCCACGTGATGTCAGTTGCAGTTGAGCGATTGTCTGATGTGAACACTTAATTATGAATGTTATTATTACGTTACTTGTTTAACTCGTGTTTTTCTTTGTTGTTGTTGTTGTTGTTGTTTCTTCTCTCCCATAAATTACAGAAAGTGCGGAGAATATTAAATTCTTAATTGGTTTTACATTTTGTTTTGAAAATAATATTTGAATTTGATATGGATGGAACATGCCATAAAAACACATGTGCTCATTTTGGATGGCATGCTCAGTCAATTGAATGCTAACATTATATTTTCGATACGCATCGTGGATCTGAATTCAAATTATATATAGTCGAATTGAAGTGCGAATGTTTTGAGTTGTAATTAAAAAAAAAAATCCTTGAAAAAATCGGTCCAAGCACTTTAGAAAAGTTGTTAGTTCAAATGTTTTGTTAATGTGAAATTCTTCGAATACGAATTAAATTAAAGATTAAGAGAAATAACAAACAATAACCGCCAATATTATGGAAAATCACATCTAAAAAACATTTTTGGATACAAAACTATATGTGGTCAAATTTATTCAACAATCTAAGAAATGCCATTCACGTTTCTAACACCATCTGGTCGCGTCAAAACAAATGTTTCAATGGTCTAGAAAAAATTCTACATTTGCATACAATCATCACGCATTACCAAAACCACGATGAATGTGATTTAAATGGATACATCCGTTTCAACAAAGCAACCGCTATACATTCAAAACTTTTCAAAGCTTTATTTGGCAATCATGTATGTTTTTTTTTTGTTTTGTAAAACTGAAGATCACGAACAAAAAAATCCATACGTTTGAATAATAACAAAAGAACACTTTTAAAAAAACAGCATTCCATCAGGATTTGTTCAATTGAGTATTGAGAAGCAGAAATGGCTTTTTATAGTTAAAAATAGATGCCGACAAACAAAAACTATAAGCTAGTTTTCAAATGCCTGCAAATGGATTAAATGGAAATTCGATATATTTTTGTTTTTGATTTTGTGCTCTTCGGCATTTGGAATGGATTTAAAAACGTTAAACTACCAGTTGTAAGAGGATCAGCAATTTTTTTTTTGTTTCGCATCATGACCTCGACTCGTGTTGTATAATTCGATGTTGGTGTTTTTCTTGTACCATTTACTTTCCAAAAATAAATACTAGTTTATCTATCCATTGAACAAATCGACAAAATAATTTGAAACAACAACAAAAAAAAATGAAACTTAAGGTGGCTGTTTGATTATTTATTTCTACTACAGTTTATACTACACGTGTAGACGACATATAACGGACATCTAAGTTGTTCCACATATCCAAAACTGTATGCTAACCACAAGTATCCTTAGGTGAATAAATAGTACCGCTCATTGATGCCTTTGGGTGCAACTCTTGACAATTTAATTCAGTTACATTGAGACAGCTTAACATTTTGACTGGTTTTCAATGGTGTTCATTCAATGCCACACATGCATTTTATCTATATCTAAAACTAATTCTGCCATTTTATTGTCGCCGAGTTAAAACGCAAAAGTTCAATGAGCAAACTTGTGTTGTGCACTTTTGTTTTGCTTTGTTGTGGTGATTGCAACACTGTTTCAAAATACAATAATAATGATCAACACACGCGCGCAACAAATTTTTAAGCATCAACGAACAAATTTATAAATGGCTGAAACAATGATGGAGATTGAATTTGTTGTTGTTGTTGTTGTTGGTTGATTTTTGTATAACATTCGTGATATTCGAATGTGTGGTGTGATTGGTGAGGGATGCACAACTATTACGCAATGAGGTTTTTTTTTTGTGGTTGTGTGTTAATAGGGAGAACTTACATAGCGCTTGTGCTGGCTGTCAACTCTTTTGGTGGTTCCAATTTCGAGCTTAATGACATAATACATTGATTCGATAACATTTATTTATATTGAATAAATTAATTGAAAAAAAAATTGTTTTTTTTTTAAATAATAGGAAATTGACTACAATTTTTTTTGAATTTAAATTAGAAGCGGCAGACAAACAAAAACATGGATTCGGACAATTGAACAGAAGAAAAGCATGCTTTTTCCATTGGCATTGCACTTTATTCTCTTTTTGTTGGGGATGGAAAGGTGTGGTGGTAATATTTAAATGTATTTTTTTTATTTGAAAAAAGAAAGCATACCACTCTGAGATAAATAAAAGGTATGATTATATTTATTGCATGAATGCTTGAAAATACTCGAATGCTTCATAATGGCATTTTGCCGCGTTGAATCTGAGTATTTTCTGCAGACGATTTCGTGCACATTCACATTCAATTTGAATTGGTGCTTTTTTTGGGTGGGGGGGATATTCCATCATTGCTTGGTAGATTAGACAGACAAATTGATGCAAACGTTTGACAATCATAGTAAATTAACGGCCCAACAAGTTGGACATCATGGCATAAAAAAAAACTCAACGATTCTTATTTCACACAAGACATAATATTTAAAAAAAAAAAAAAAAAATCAAAGTCAAAATAAGAGAAAAACAAACATGGTTCGAATCAAATCTTACAAAGCCACATATAAAACGAATTTTAAAGATGTATCACAGTAATCACGACATTGATCGACCAAACATTTGTGATTTGCTTTTCAGTATTCTCCAGTAAATGATGATATTTGTCGAATAAGTTGGAAATTTGACAGACACCTTCGTTCGACTCTCGAATAAAACAAAAACCCTCACAAAAATTATATTTGTTCTGTAATTTGTATACGTATAATAATGTAAATTTTCGGGTGTTTTCATGTGTGGTGCAATTAAAATGTACTTTTGTTCAGTGTATGGAAAATGTATTCGAATGTTGAAATGAAAAACATAGTGTATTCATTAAACGAAAAAAACTGTTTTGTTTTATGATTTTCCAAAGACAAAAAATTGTTTATACCAAATGAATTGAAAAAAAAAATATGTGAGAAAAAAACTGTATTTTATAGAACAATATTGGCGTGTTTTTCTCGTTGTAATAATTTATTGCCACAATATACTCTCGGTTTGAAGTTGTGGTAACAAAGTCTTTGACTTTATCCAACTATAGTTAATTTTAAATGGCCAATTTCATCTCGGGACCATGGTTTATTAATAAACATATTAAAAGGTCAGAAACATGAATTTTAGATCAATAACACAGGTAAATCTGATAGAAACTGTGATAATATTATCAACAGAATAATTAAGTGGAACGTATGTTTGTGTAAATAGGGTGGACCGAATTATATCACTTGCGAGCATACATGGGCACGGAAAAAATCAAAAACTCTAGCTCGGACGATTTAAGAGGTTATCCGGGCTTACAGTCCCCTGTGCCCATGTATGCTTGCGAGATAAAAAAAAATTGTCTATTCCCATAATTTGGCCAATTGTAGAAACATTTCTATGGACAAAAATTGAATCTGTCAGCTATAATTTGACATCTTACCGTGAAAATTTTCATATTGCAAATGGTTTTATTTGATCCAGCCTAATGCTGAACACATCTTACATTTTAAACAAAATATTATTTACTGATTCGATTTTTCACGTATTATTCTGAACTTCAAAAGAACATTGGCTCTTCGGATATTTTAAATTTGTCATTCAATTTATAAATAATTTACTTTGACTTGAATATACATGTGTGTGCTAGACAATCTACAAACAAATTCTATGAAATATGATACAATATACAATCGGATTCGTAACAATAATTTTCAACCAAATGGAAATGGCAATCATGTTAAATACGTCACAGTGGGTAATTGATTTTAATTGAGGTTGGATATGCTGTCAAAGAGCATTTCCACTGTGAATAGCTAACAATGTACCGTATTCCGAAAAAAAGTGAAAAAATAAATAAATATATTTACAAGGGAGTAGAAGTCCTATTCGAATTGAACGTTTTACATGGAAATGTTGATTTTGGTTCCGTTTTCTATTGAATTGTTAAATGAAACGAAACGAATGGAATGATTTGCGCAAAGATGTGTTGTTTTTTTTTTGGGGAAACCAAGGTAATGGTATAAATTGGAAGAGGCTAAGATTAAAAATGCATAACACTAACGCATTTCATTTTCAAAATTTGCAAAACAGATGTGAGATGTTTTGTAGAAATTTACGATATGGTTTACGCATTTTTTATGTTATTCATTCGAGAAAAAAGAATCGGAAAAAAATGTTTCTTTTTTGTGTTGATACAAGTGAGGATTACAATTCTATAGGGATCATAAGTTTGTAAACGATTTTATATGGAAAAAAAGTAATTCCAGACCGTTTGCATCATTTGAAAATTCAACAGAAGCAGATATAGTTTGATTTTGAATGAATGCAAATAGAGACTCGGAACAAAATGAAATAGAGATCGAGGGAAGAGAGAGTGAGATGTACAGAGACAGAAACAGTAGTAGCATCAATAAAAATGAAATAAAAATGGTCAAATGAAGAGAACAGAGAACTGAGAAAGAAAACAAAACTAATAAAAATAAAGTGAACGAATGAAAGAAAACAAAGAATAGAGTCGTTGAGATTGAGACACATAAAAAGGTGACAGAACCGTAGAAATTGAAGTAAATAAAAGCCTGAATGCAAAGAACACCAACCTTTCTGATGCGCTTGGGTAACGCCGTGCTAACAGGTAAATCTTTTGCCCCCGAAAGCTTAACGTCGTTATGCGAGTTTTGCATACAAGTTGCGAATACAAATACAAAATACGAATACGAAAATAATAATAAAAAAGTGTTTAGTTTTGTTTTGTTTTTTATATTGGTGGAATTAGTCCATGTATATATTGTTTTTGTTTTGCCAATTTAACATTTTCAAATCGGATTGATTTTGATATGTTTGTGATTTCATATACATAGATATGCAAAAAGTCGACAAAAAAAAGTACACATATAAAAATAAAGAGAGAAAAAGAGAGAGAAAGAAGAGATGAAATTGAAATTGTTTCAATTTGAATTCATTTCGAGAGAAATTTTTGTGTTTTATTTTAATTGAATTTTTTTTGTTGTTCTTCTTCTTAATTGTTTCATTTCTGAATGTGCACGTTTTGGTCAATTAAAATTATGCAAGCGAGTCAAACCTTAGTTATCATTCGACGACCTGTTTAATTTCGCTGTGAATATAGAATGAAATGAAAAAGCTACTCATTTTTCTCGTTTGATTCAGCCACAGTGGTTACGATTTTGATTTAATGTGCCCATATCAAAAAAAAAAGCTAAAATGCAACATTACGCAAATTTTGAAAGTTCAACAATTTCGGCATGAATGCACAAAACGAAGCAATCAAACAATGTCGATACGTTTGAAAATGCCCAGTTTTTTACCAAATCCAATGTAATCATGTATTTAATATAATAGTGCATTCACATCCATTATGGTGATGTGATCGCCATGACCACCAACGCAAAGCAATATTCTTTCGATTGATTATCGTGAGACCGGAATATTTGAATCCACATTCAAGAAACGTGCACTAGCTATGGCTTTTATGTCATTTGTCTGATATATTCGAAGCGCATTTGCAGCCTATTGTGTTCACTCAATATTGTTATAAGTTATAGTGCACATCGAATGCGTTGCTGTTTTTTCACATTAATTAGCTGACACATAAACTGATTCGTTGTTGTGTGCAGAATATGAGTTTTTGAAAATTGAAGGGTAAAAAATGTGAGTAAAAACCACTACGACTAAAATGGGTTTGAGCAATCCTACCTAATTCAAACGTTCCCTTGTGAAAAAATTGACTAACTACTTGAAATCTAGACATTTTTTTAAAAGAATTTTCACATTTTCACTCAACATTATCATTTTGGTACGAAATATCTGAAAAATGTTCGATTAGTCAGTCAATTAAGTCTAAGCTAGATTGCAATTGATTTTCATCGATTTTATTTGGCTTTTTGATAAGTAAGGTAAATATGGTCATAGAGAAAGATGGTCAATCTCTTTAGATATTACTCTTACTTATAAAAAAAACGTACACACAAAAAAAAAGAAATAGTAGATTTTTTAGGTTATGTGGTAGGTACATAGTTCACCACACAACAAGTAAAATCTACCACAAAGTTTCACATGTATTTGCATTAATAAGTGTCCCATGTAAAAAGTGTTATACTTTGGTATTTGTAAAGAACCATGTCAATTTTTCAAATAACGAGTGAGCCAGCAGTTTTTGACTGAGAGTTTGTCCAACCCTACATTTCTCATAATTGAGCAGAGTGCGTTTAACTCTCAAACGGCACATTTGCATCGCATGCATGATCCCAAATAATAATTAAATAAATTGAAATGGAAATATTAAAAACGATGCTAATACAAAAAAAGTATTAATCATTCAAAATAATTGAAATAAAAAAAATAAATAAAATAACTTTTATATATAAATCATTTGATTTTTCGGGTGAATCCTTCTATCGTGAATTAAACGTACGTTGTTTTGTTATTATAGCCACAGGGTTTGACAGACAAATTTGCAAGCAATGACAGCTGGCTCACTTTTTAGCATTGTTCTTTGACAGTTTATAGATGTGACACTTTGTGGTAGATTTTACTTGTTGTGTGGTAAACTATGTGCCTACCACATAACCTAAAAAATCTACTATTTTTATTTTTTGTGATTTATTACTATTATAACTAATATTCAATTTAAGGTAAATGACTAAAAAATGATTATAATCACAACTGTGATCGATTCTGATCAACGAAAATGACACAGCCAAAATAGACGATCAAGTCTATCAGTCATTTTGCACAAGGGTTCAATGAAAATCAACAATAAAGAAAGAAAAATAAGAAGGAAATTGTGTATAAATTTAGAATGGTAATGAGATTTGTGATAAAGCTACCGAAGTTTTTATAAATTTGGGTTGAAAGAGAGAGAGCAAGAACTCTTAGAAATCTAAATAATACATAAGCACAATAATGGATATTACCGAGAAGAAAACAGCAAATATTACAAAAAAAAATTAAATTGGTTGTTGATCGAATTTCTCTGTCTGATAATATTCATTTTGCCATTTGGTTTTTTTTTTTTGTTCAACTGTACAATATGTTTTAGAGCAGTTCTAATATGAATTTGAAAGAGAAAATAAAAAGCTTGTGCGACGTATCGAATAAAGGTGTCTGAAGATGAAAAAGCGTTTGGGGCGGGCAATCTTTGAAGCACGAATTTCTTTAACTCGAATAAAGTCAATGGTTAGCCCAAAATGCACTTTCATATCGAATCAAATCTATTTTAAAGTAACTTATGTTGAATATTTAGAGTATTATTTAAAATATGAAATAATTACAGCAACATATTATAAATTGTTTGGAATATTATTTGCGAATATAAAACCTATATAAGATTAAAATGAAGTAAGGCGTATTTGGAACATTGAAAATGGCAATGCAGTGAAAATATTGTGTGATTTTAGGTTTGAAAGCTAATCTTATTTCTGTTTCAGACTGATTTGTTTGTTTTGTTTGTTTTTTTTTTAATTATTATTATTTTGTTTTTGTTTTAAATACATAGTTTAATTACCCACACATAAAAATTACCTATAGTCACAAAAATTCCTAACCATTCTATCCCAGTACTCTCTTTTAATTTCGATGTATCATTTTACGGGGAATACACAGTGAAAAGATAAGAAAAGATTTTATAATGTGAATACATGCTTATGCTGATGTTGATTGAGCAAATAAATCAAATCAAATTTTAATTTAATTTAATTTTCGTGCATTTTCGAAAATTCCCATATTTTTGTATTATTGCTCAATGAAAAGCAATAAGAATTATTATTGCTATATGATCGACGGTGAGTGGATTCTCGCATGCGTCATTTGAGTTGAATTTTCGATGTAGCGGGAAATCCACTCAAACCGTTATCGTCACCCTACATTATCAGTTGGATGGCGTTTGAGTGATTTAATGTTGTTGTTGTTTTTTTTTTTCTTCTCGTTTGATTTTGTTTAGTTTGTTTGCAAATTTTCACTCTTTTCGAAGCGAGGCACATTCAAAGTAGTTGATATATTACTATACAAGCTGGTGTTATAAACACGTTGTATTGTCAAAATATTCGCAAGAATCTAGACGAAAATTGCCGGCAAAATATTGCTTGTTTAAATGCTGACTGGATTAATTTCATTCCAAGTTCATTATTAATAGCAAGGCTAGACTAGCAATTGCTTAAGGTTTTTGTTTTTGGTCGGCCGCTTGCCTTTTTAGTTTTGAAACAGAAGTTTCTGTATTTATAGTTGACGGGATTATGTTCTCTGAATTGACTCGTAACATTGTACAAGTGTTAAATAAGCAACAGAAAAAAAAAACGATGAAATTTATTTCTTGTTTGCTGAATACTTACGATGGAGGTGGTGAGGGTAATGGCACTTGATGAATTTTCCACGTTGCAGTGCTCATAGAAGCTTCATCGGCGGCATAGCATCGCCACAGGGACTGAATTAACGTGGCGGCTGGTTGTCGTCGTCGAATCATATGCTTTTGTCGCTGTTGTTGTTGTACTTTCAATGCAAAACCACTGCCCAATATTCCCTTGATTTTGTTGTTGTTGTTTGGTGGTGATGGAGGTTTTTCAATTCAAAATTCCAAAATATTACTCTCACATTTATTGTAAATGTTATGGATAAAAAAAAATATGTCTTCAATTCAGTAAAATTTCAGCAAAAACCAGCCACCAAGCGCAGATGATACCAGATTATAAGCGATTTATAACATTGATAATTATCCTTAAGGCACATGTTAAACGACTTATATAATGAATTTGTTGCTTTCACTTTCATAAAAGAAAGCAAACAGATTCCCGTTTTTTTTTTCGCTTCACATTTTTTCTAATTAGAGCTGTCACGTACTATAATGAACCGTTTTTCCGATGTTGCAAACGGAGAAAGTATACTGTTCTGTTATTAACATAACTTTAAAAAAAAACATTAGTATTAAACTTCAACAAATTCTCATTCAGACTAATGAAATTGTTTGGTGTTGGTTTCTCTGCAATGGCTGGTTATTCCTTTACCTTATTACAAAGTTGAGCACATCATCACTAAGCTAATTTGATATTTTTTTTTTATATTTTGCATATTTGTTTGCCACTATCGCACAACAATGTTTCGATTTGAAATGCAACCATGGTTTAACTACTTACAGCGGGCAATGCAAAGAATGAGATTCCGAGTAGTGCACAAAATGATGCAATCACCTTCCCTTGCCACGTTTCAGGTACCTAATGTTTTTTGACGTATTAAGTCAATGTATTTTGTTGGAATAATTAGTGGTGTTATTCAAACAGTGATAATATTGCCAAGAGCTCTTACCATGTCACCATATCCGACAGTGCATAAAGTTATCTATTATGTTTTTATTACGTTCGGTGTTTATTTACCATTTCGCAATGCAGCAAATGATGAAATATGGAAAAGACAATCAAACAAGAAAAAAAACACGAACTACATTGTAATTAAAGTGCAGATTTGTAGAAAATGTAAAACTTCAACTCAAAATGCATACATCAAATGGGATTTTTTTCTTTTTTTTT